GGTGTAGCGAGTTGATAATTTCAGTGGGGCTGCATGTTTCAGGCATGTTAGCTGGATTTCATTATTTACGCGCCTTCGCAGCTCAGGTGAGATCTCACTGCTGTTCTGATCAGTCAAATAGCTAGAGTTAAATTAACAGTAAAACTGGTATTTCACAGAATGCGCATATCTTGAAAATCCACAGGGTGCCTGAGTGTGAGTATCTTGTGTTTTTATGTACACCCACCACACACGCACACCCTCAAGATAGTTGATAATGCGTATTAGTTTTCTCCATGTTATATGTAGCATGAGTATATGCTTTATTGTCCTAAAAATGATCAGAGCGCTGATCTCAATGTTTTAATCTAATAGTAAATAGAAAATGTAAGTGTTTCATCATATTCAAACATGGAAAATTGTTTAGAACGAAGAAGTTCTTTTCCACGACCTTGATGTTGTCGGGTCCCATAAATTTGACTAAAATTATTGGTAGCAATGTATCGGTACTTTTACTGTTGCCTCTAAAGGTTGCTTGACTTAGAACGATGAAAAAACAAAAGATCAGCGCTCGAATAGTCGAATCAATTAGTTGATTCTATTTTTAACTAGTGGACAACTGTTTTTCCTTGTCGAACGTCGGGAATCAACGTAGGCAAAATTATCAAAAGATTCAAGTATTTCCATCTGATATTCGCTACAACAGCAGTTTTAAAACTGCTACTTTTGTTCCAGATGCATCTCTACATGCTCTNGATTCGCTCAAACACTGGTTCCAATGCTCCTATTCTGCTCCAAGTCTTTCTCGGTGAGATCTATCGATTGTCACAAGAATAGGAGCATTCGAAGAAGTGTTCGAGCGAACCCGCGACGGTTTTCGTTTTCGGGATGTTTGGTGTCCATGGCAACTGGGTGGTATTTTGTGAATATTTTTCGGATAGTTCAAGATATCGTGAAGTGAATTTTGGCATTTGATGTATCTGGGGTTGGTGCATTTGGGAGTGAGCTGAAACGGTTCGAACAAGTTTCTGGGTGAATATATGTAGAATTTTCTGTAGAAGTTGCTTATTTTTCTGGATTTTGTTTTTGGTAAAATATGGTTCTCTCTTGAACGGTTTGAGATGGGGGGGGGGGGG